GCATTGTGTGTCCCTTTTAGCAGCAGACAGATAGAGGTAGACAAGAGAGTTGTGGTCCTGCTACGGCTGTCTACCTAGTCAGCCTCGTGCCCCAGTACAGCTTTGGTCTGCCGTAGTCAAAACTCCCATCTCTTAACTCATCTGGTAAAGCCTCAGATGTTCATAGTGTTTTGCATACCTTCACATCTTAGGAGTCATAATATTTAATGGCTCTTGCCTTTGCCTCTTCTGAGCCACATGGTAATAGTCCTATTAATACATCCTTTTTATTGGCCTTTGTTGTAGAAGAAGTTGTAAGTACCCAATGCAATATGAAAGGACAGCTATTGTGGGTTTTTTCCTCAGAACTGTGACAACCTCAGATGTAACGAAGTAGACACATTGTTAAATGTGAGAGAGAAAATGTCTTTGGTGGATAGATTTCTAGCTTGTTGTCTAAGTAAGTGCAATGAAGTCAAACAACTAGATACTGTGCTATGTCTTCTTTTATTTTCTTAGTTTTTAAGTTTGTAAAAGGCAGGAGATGTACAGTGTAGTCTTTGGAATTAAAACAACTCCAGTAAGACAATGCCCAAGTGCATAGGAGGCTAGAAGGGAAAGAAGCATCTTTATGCAAAAATCATATGGGAACACACTCTTCATTTCCCTGAGATTGGTTTCTTTGTAATAGTAACATTTAATAAAGCAGAGGGTGAATATCTCTTTCCAGATAGATAATGATTGTAAGCAAGGGAAATACAGTGGAAGACACAATAATTTCAAATTGAACTCATTTTTAGACAAGAGACTGAGAGATGGTATCTTAGTTTAGGGTGTAGTTTAATATGTATCTATCTATACTCTTCCGTTTCCTTATCTATTCCCTTCCCTTTCCACAACGGGATCACTGGTAACCATGAGTAAAGCAGCCACACGGACAAGGAAAAGACAAGGAACGTAAATTCACATAGTCACAAGTTGTTTAAACTGCATAATCTGGGGAGGAGTGGAGGAACTGGGAAGTGAGAGAAGGACACACAGACCTTGAGGAAGAGTTCATTGATCTGCTTTCCCTTATTTTAAACAGCTTTCTAGAGCAAACTTATTCCATAGGGAAAATAATTTTCTGTTTAGACTGATTTATAAGGTGTAAGATCATCTGATGTGATCTGGAGCATAACCAATGTCACAAGAGACTACGAAATATTCTCTGCCATTTGTCTTATGGGATTTAAAACCATAGTGTCATACAGTGTGGTATTATGTAATTGCCAAAGAAAACTATCAGATATGGACACTGTTTTGCTATTTGTATCTACCACTAACTTTCACAATCCATATAAAAAATGTATGACATATTTTCTTCTTCTCCGTGTACATCTGCCCTAATAGAACTATACTTGCGCAGTCTGAACTGCTCATTTGGAATTTAGGGAAAAGTTACCAGGATCATTGCAATGGTAGAGTCATTTTCAAACTACAGCAGAACTGCATCTGCCCTGTTATTTCTTTATCTTGATTCTCATCTTAATTTTTTTTCAGATTTTGTGCTCTATTTCCAAGGTCAAATAAGCATGTTTGTGATGGAGTTCTCTTAGATTTTGCATTTAGCTATGATTGTGACTTGGTCACAGTCCATTTTAAAGACCACAGAGTAACACAAAATAATTCAACAATGGGATTTTCAGTGGATCCCATCAGCCCCATGGACCTGTGTGTGTCTAATTGGAGTAACAGGTCAGTGGTCATGGCCCCCTAATATGCAGGCTTCATTCTGATCCCCATCCCTGTCCTCCAGTTCATGAGGCTGGGTACCCAAAGAACAACCTATCTTGCTATTAAAGACAGAGGCAAAGATGGCACTAAGTAGCTCTGCCTTTTCCTCATCCTTTGTCATAATGCATCCCCCACATCCATGAGGTAAGGAGATCCTCCTTAGCCTTCCTTTTTTTCGTGGCCACAGAATCACAGAATGTGCTGAGTCAGAAGGGACCTACAAAGCTTATGAATTCTAACTTTTAGTCCTGCACAGGACATCCCAAGATCTATACCATGTGCTTGAGAACATTGCCCAAACACTTCTCTATGTATTTGTGAAAACATTTTGTGTATTCATAAAAACATTTATGTTGTTTTTTACAGCAGTAGCCAGATTAATTTCTGGGCTTTGTCCCTTCTATTTCTTTCCCTGAATAACCTCACAAAACCCCTATAGTCCTCCTATAGGGGACCCCTATAGGAGGTCCTCCCTCCAAAAGTGATATGGTCTCTTTTTTACCCAGAATTCCAGCCAAAGCTCTCTGTTCAGCTCGGATGGCTTTCTTCCACGTCAGCTTGTCTTTTGGCACATGACGACAGCCTGCACCCCAAAGATTCTCTTCTTGAAAAACCTGGACTCCTTTGGCTCCTAACAGATTTTGACAACCAGACTCCTTGACAGACATTCCTAAATCCAAGATAGCAGTTATGCTGACCCCCTTCCTTTGTTCTCTGGGAATAGAGAACTCTATCATTTCGTGATCACTCTGCCCAAGACTGCCTCAGACCATAATATCACCCTCTAGTTCTTTTCTGTTCACAAAGAACAGGTCCAACAGGTACCTCTCCTTGGCTGACTTGCTGTCAGAAAATGATCTTACATATACTCCAGGAACTCCCTGGACTGTTTTCCTTCTCTGCTATATTGTATTGACAGTAGGTATCTGGAAAGCTGAAGTACCCCAAGAGAAGAAGGGTAAGCAGTTGTGAGACTGCTTATAGAGTATTTCATCTGCCTCTCCATGCTGGTTGGTGGTCTCCAACAGATTCCTACCAGGATATCTGCCTCGTTATCCTTCCCTCTGATTCTTGCCCAGAAACACTCAGCCCTATTGTCACAATCATTGAGCTTGGAACAATCAAAACTCTTCTTAACATACATGGCTACCTCCCCATTTCTCTTTCCTCACCCATCCCTTCTGAAAAGTTTACAGCCATCTATCACAGTACTCCAGTTGTGCAAGTTGTCCCACCATGTTTCACTGATGGTGACTGTCACAGCATTCCCACTACACAATGGCTTCCAATTCCTCCAGCTTGTTGCCTATTGGAATGTGAAAACAGAGGCCTCTCTGAGTCCCTCAGAGAGAGAACAGTATGCAGGAACTGAAGTTCTTAGAGAAATCAAAATATATTAAGCCACACAGACATGAAATAGAGGTGTAAGCTTAAGTTTTAAGTAAGTAACTAAGTAAGCAAGTTTAAGTAAGTAAAAATATGTTTTAAGTGCCTTAAAAAGCAAAAGCCTTCGAATCTGGGTAAAAAACAAGCTTCAAAAACCAGCTTCAGTGAGAGCTCAAAAACAGAGTTCTAGACATAATAAAAATATAGTAAGACTGTTGCTTACATTCTTGAGATAGGACAGATAGGCTATATGTGCAAATTATGTGCAAACTTTTGTATTATAGAACTAGAATTCTAATAGGTTTAGAAGAAATGCTTCAGGTTTGTGTTTTTAGCTCATTGGGTAATTTGTAAATAAAAATCTGTGTATTAGAGTGAGAGCTCTCTTGCTCTCTCTCTTCTTCCACCACCATCATCATCAGTACCACTATATGAAAGAAAAAGAAGTGGAAGAACAAGAACAAGAAGAAAAGAACAGGAGAAGGAAGACTAGGGAGCATCTGCCTTTGCTCAAGACTCTGTACCAGGCCGCAGCTTCTACCTCTGCTGAGGGCTCTGTGCCAGAGGACTGCTGCTCCTGCCTCTGCCCAGGACTTTATACCAGCTGCTTCTATTTGGGATTCTATAACAGAAAGCTTTTAGCATGGACTTTAACACTTGGGACTCTGTCTTTCGAGACTGATGTGCCTTTACAATAAACAACTTTAAAGCAACTAACAATTTCTCTGGTCTTTTGAAGATATAAACCCGTAACAATCTTGACCGTTCCCCATGCTGTCTGCATGATACAAGCTTAAGATGTCATTAGCTGAGAGTAACAAAAATCTTTCCAAGGTAGCAAGTCAGAAGGAGATTTTGGTGTTAAGACATTCTTGGCATCTTTTTCTCAAGTGTCTTGTATTGCAAGATATCTTTGTCTTGGAGCAGAAGGTCTCTGTCACAGAGAATGGCCTGTAGTAAGGGAGAAAACTGATGCACTCACATTCAAAGTTGTGAGAGTCTCCTCAAAAACAAACAAGCACTAGGCCCAAGGAATGATTCCCCCACTAGCAGCATGCTCCTGGAAATCACCTTCCACCATCTGCAGCTTTCTTGCCTTCAAGATCTAGAGAGACCCTCATGCCTCAAAAAGGCTGTGGATGCCTATAATAAATAAGAACACCTACCTCATAAGAAGACTGGACGCAAGTTGTATTTTAAATCTGTCATGTCTTACATGAAGAGGAACCTTCTGCAACTAAAGAGACTTTTCTGTACAGAAGGGAAAATATCCACTCTTGTTTAACCATATCATTAATGACCAGTCGATATTTAATGTGCCACGTGCTGTAAAAAAATAGTGCTGACTGAACATGTTGGTTTCAGTTTTACAGCCGGGGCAGCAAGAAAGAATTGCTGAGAGAGAGTTGTTTCCATTCTCCTTTGCTTAATATATGGATGAATATGGAAAGCAGTGACCTAGTTTCAAAGAACAGTGTTATCTCAAATGCCTCCTGTCTCACCTATATGAGAAATGAATGCATCAGGATGGAAAGGCTTTTGGACTAGCCAACACAAAAGAAGGAGCTGTGTCACACATCTGAGTAAATGAACAAGCAGAGGAATCACCAAAAAACCCTCATTACAAGTAATGCAGTTCAGCTTCCCAGGGTAAGAAAACTATCTTCCCATAACAGTTCAGACACCTTCAATTTTAGAAAGTCAAGGTTTAGAAAGGATTGACTAGGTGCCTCAGCAAAGCTCACAAGGATGAGGAACAATGAAATAAACACTTACTTTATGGGGAATGGTTAAAGTTTGCTAGGTAAGCAGCAATAAAAAAGCATAAGCACCACTGTCAGGTGCTTCACTAGAGACAATTCATAAAACCAAGATTTATTTTAATAAAACATGAAGAACAAAGAACAGTGTTCAGGCACAAAAACTAACAGAACATAATCAGTCAGGGACAAAAAATGGCAGCGCACTGATCACATCTCCAGCTTCCGTCTCAATCGTTTCATAAACCCATTTTCTGTTGCAGCGGCATTCTGATCCACATTTGTTTGAGTTGCATTTGGGGCAAGGATAGAAGCAACCCAGGCAGTCCATTTCCAGGCAATCACATAAGTCTATGTCATTACAAAGCAGCCTGCCATGTTTGTCATACTTCCTTATAAATCTGTGAAAGAGAACAAAAATTATAATGCTTCAACACATTCAGAGACTAAACCAAACACATGTGGAAAACATCTGTAGAAGTCTTTAGTCTTTAGCAAACTCACAGCAAAATAAAATACCAGCATTATATTCTAATTGCTACTAAAGAATATATGCATGCCATTCTATATCAAAATTTCCTTTAAGTCACACAGAAAAATCTTGTTTTCCCAACACAGCTTTCAAGGGTGAAAAGAAATCACTCTGCGAAATACAGTACTTTTATTAATTTCGTTTAGATTCAGTGAACAGCCTACCAGCTATTTTTTTTAAACTAAATCAGATAATAAATTAGAGGTCTTACTTGGAGTTATTAAAAAAATTTTGTTTCATCTGTGATATGTATGCTTTCTTTTTCTGCTGTCTAGTTTCAGGATTGAAGTCAGCTACCTGAGGTCCTGGATTTTGAAAGGCTAAGCATTTTAATTGTTTCTCAAGTTTTTGCTGTAAATAAACAACAGAAAGTTTGCAATCAGTACAATTGGAAAATACATTTATTAGATGCCAAGTGTCCTCACTGGCTTTTGAATGAAATTAAAATTAATATTCCTTATAACGTATAAGATCTTATTGATTGTTTAAAATGTTTTCTTGTCTAACTACTAATCAAGTATTCCTTTTACCGACTGTGCATCCTGACTGGAGATGGAGGAATCATGACTCTGAACACATGGCTCTGGTACAGCAGCACGGAGTTTGCAAGTTGCCATGTAAGAGGCAGAATTATGTGTTTTGTTCTTTAGCTTCATCTAAAATGTAAAAACAAGTACTATGATTATAAGCATCTCAAATAGATTCACTCCTATTTTCACTGCTCCCTCAGATGCCTAGGGATTATCTTTGTCCAAACAATTTGAGGGCAAGAAAAATGTCTGAAAGAGCAACTAACGCAGTAAGGAAGCATTTGCACAAGTGAGAAGTATGAGGAAAAAAACCCCAACACACAGACAAAAACAAACTCAGCTGAGCATGGTTTTCTGAGAAATAGGAGGATGCATTTTTCTGCCAATTTTATGGAATTCATGTTTGAAGTTAGCTAAAACTGCTGAATACTTTTGGAAACTAAAACATTAACTCTGTGAATTACCATTCCACATAGTCCATGTAAGTTGACAGGTAATTCTAATGTCACTGCAAACAAACATAAGCATCATGTTAAACAATTCCCCTTTCAACAATGACTGTGAACCTGACTTGTAATTTATTATGTAAAGGTAAAAAAAATACATACAAATTTATCTTTTTCTCCTGTTATGTAAATGGAGCTGCCTCGCCATATCTTAGCTTCCCTGGAGGGTATCATTCCTTTCAGAGTCCACAGTGATTTTCCATAAAAAATTGAGTGCTTTCACTGTTTCTCAGGGGAAAGTAGTGGTAATTCAGTCCAACCTGCTGATATAGTGATTCTAAAATATCCATGCAGTTGAGTGCATTTATTTACAAGCTGGTTGTTGCTGTGCATCCTCACCTGCATCCTCCTGAAAACATACAGGGCAATCTGATGTACCTTATTCAGACATGTCTGCTTTGGACTCTGGGGTAGATTTTCAGGATCATCACCATTCATTATCATAAATAATGCAATTTTAAGTTGCAAAAATATAATAAGGTATGGTATAGTCCTTCCTCTAACACTACTCTTCTATTTCCCTACTCACAATTGCTCTTAGCCCTCTAAATCACTGCACTGCAAACTTGATCCATTTCACTATTGTTGTTATTGATATTTCCCTCTTGACTCCAGCTCTTTATTTTTGTAATGACTCAAGAAATTGAAGGCAATTATAAGTATCATAATAAAAAAGTAGTACCAGAGAAGTCATACCAATTTTTTGTGTCTTGTTGAGCTGTCCTTAGCAGGAGACATATTTTTTTCTGCAGATGTTTCCTGGGAAGAATAGCTTTTCTTGCAGTTTTCTTCCACGAGATCACTCATTTGACCACCCTTGTGAAATATGCACATATTTGTTAAACATATACAACGCTATAAATATACTTGTAATTTAAAGTTTTAAGGATAAGCAGCTGATATAGACGCAAGGCTTTCATGTATTCTTATTCATCAGTAAATGCAGAACAAATTGTGTCTCAGTAATAGTCTCGTTTTGTATCACCAAAGCCAGTGCACAATTGGCTAAGCGCCCGTCGGAGACCTGCTGGTGTTTAAATGGCACCGAGCTCGGGAGGGGCTGTTGCCACGCGTGGCTCCGAGGGACGGCGCGCACGCAGTCCCGGCGCCAGCCCGCGGGTGGCGCTGCTGCCCCAGCCGTGCGCGCGGCATTCCCCGCGGATTCACCGTGCTCTGCTCTTCCCGGAGATTCCAACCAACCTAAGCTGCTTGGCTTTTGAATCTCACTCCTTTGCGAAAGATTTTTTTTTTAATAAAATAGAATGTGGATCTTTTAAGTTTAATAGAAAAAAGGGCATCACTTACTCAGCTAACAAAGTACCCAGGGATGTCTGTGGGTTCTGTGAGTGTATCCTACAAATGCCATCAACATAGGTTCAGGATGGATACTAGCTACCTGTTACCAACCTTGTGCAGATACTTAGTTAAAAATTTTATGCAATATATACAGTACTAGTGCCTCAGACTTTAACCCCAAACACAACCAGAAATAATTTAAGATTTCTGGAATTCCTCCAACCCTGCCCCACATGCTGCCCAGTCTCTCCCATCACCTCTGAAAGGTAGCACAGTGGCCTCTATCAGTTTACCCTGTACTTCAGGACTGTTGCCCCAATCCTGTCCCAGAGAAGATAATTTCACCACAGCCAAAGGACCAGCACCTCTCTAAGATAAGCAGGAGTCCAAGCCTTATGTTTTCTCTCTTGCAACCACTTTCTGCAGGGCGACAGTCTAAGTGAGAACAGGAACCAGAAGGAAGTGACTTTGTATTACCTGGAGGAGATATCTTTCAGAGAGGTGAAACAGTCTTCAGCCTGTTTCAGAGGGGGTTTCCTGTTCTCTTCAGTAACCTGAAAAATGACAGATGTGACACTGTTCACAATGGGAGGCTCGACAGCAACTGTTTTAGTTCTGAGACTTGAGCATCATTTTAGAGTTAGAAAAGGAATTCTATTACCAGGCAAATAATATTTACTGGATGGGGGAGACTGCTTTCCTACTGGAAATTTGTTAGGGGTCCACAAGTGAATAAAGAATGAAGGGCAGCACTCAAAAAAGGATAAGTATTGCTCTTCACACACACTCAAGTTTAAGTCCTGGTAAGGATCTTTTTCCTACATTTCCTTCTGAGTCTAACCATACAACTAGCATTGTTAAAGCACTTTACAAGTATGGCTGATTATCATCCATGACTGTTTTTTCACAGTATGCCAGGTTCAGGAGCAGAAAAGCCATCAGCAGCTACCAGTGTAAGCATGTAGAGTTTCCATGTGTCGTGTGGTGGTGTAAAGATTTGACTCTTTGACAACTAAATCCTAACAATTATCTAGAACCACACAAAATCAGAGACCTCATTTAAATACTAACAGAAAAGACCAAGCATCTTGTTCCAAAGATGTGTTTCAAAGGCCTTTGCACCTCAGCAAAAATGTCTTATGGAGAGAATGTAGCAGATTTCTGTCTCCACATACATAAACTTTAAGCATACAATGTTGAATTTTAATCTCCAGGAGAAATGATAAAAAATGAATCAGAATGTGACTAGGAAAGTGAGCAGGACTAATTATCCTCCACAGTGTGTTCTGAGGAGAGATGGAAATGAGGGAGACACAGACTATGAAGTCTGTAGAACCTAATTATTTTCCTGCAAAGGAAAGTATTCTTGGTCCTGAAACGGATCTTTTTTTCTTCTACTATTTTTAGTTTGACTGTAGTAATAATCCAGGGGCAATCCATTGAACACGGGTCTCTTCCATAAAAAATTCAACTCTGAGGATAACCACCAATTGCACTCCTCCTCCACCAAAACCTGTGTTCTCTCATTCTTTTTGAATACAGCAAGTATTGCTCTGGAGGTGATCACCCACAGCTGAACATCCCATTGTGGCTACAGTGTATGTATTGCCATACACTGGCAATTTCAGCACAGAGCCTTGAAACAGTGGACCAGGCTAAAAGCAGAGTAAGGGATGAAGAAAAACAGAGATTGTGTTATATGAGGAATCTTATCCATGACAGATGTTTCTGCTAGGAGAATAATTTCAGAAGTTGTTGGGATTTGGAAGGAATTGCATTTGTTTATGAACCTCATAAAAGAAATATTTTCCTGTATCTGGTTTCTCAAGAATTTAATATTTCTGTTTATGATCCCTGCAGATTACACAGCGAAATGTTTCAGCTGTTGTGAAATGTGGGGACCAGCACTGCAGATACTTCAGACTTTTTGATCTCAGCAGCCTAAAGCTAGTGTCTCTGCAGGGCTCGTCATTGCCACATTGTTTTCAAATTGTATTTGTTTGTGCCATTGGAAACATTCTGGCTGAGATATGAGAGCATGTTCATCACCTTCACCAGGGCAACATGAGATGTTGCCCCTATGGCTTTAGTCCTCCTATGCACACGCAGATTAGACAGACCTATTGCAATAGTCTTCACAGCCTTGCTCTGCAGAGATGTCTGTGGGCTCAGCCAATTCTGTGGCACACTGAAGTACAGATCTTGGAATTTCTATAAGACGTCTGGTGCCAACCAAGTTAAAAATGGGACTAAATTAACCTTCCTCAGATCAACTGTGGACTGAAGTGTAAAGCTGTGGAAAGACCACTTGGCATCTATTCTGTACCTTCTCACAGGCACAAATGTGCATGTGTGTTCAGAGGACAACTTTGAAGAAACACAGAGCTGATGAAGAAACAGATCTCATCTCTTGTAACTCAGCTGGTTTACCAGAACCCTGACAAACATGGTGACAGTGCAGTGGACCATGTTTTAACAGGGGTCTGGAGAAGCAAATACATCCCTCTGCAAGTAAAATAACACAAATCCTCATGAGTTCTCCCTCCCACACCCAGACACTTTCTGCTGGATCTGGAAGTGAGGGCTCCTGTAGCTGAAGTTAAACAATTATAAAATCATGTGCAACTTCTGCTTGACATGCAATAGGCAGAAGAGATCTGCCAGGTACTCACCCACATTCTGAAAACCTGTGGTTCTGGAGGGTGTATGTTCAGTTCAGAATAGACAGCAAGAGAGTAAGGACAGTCTCCATAACCTTAAACTGTACTTACCAAAGAGAGGAGGGGAATGGCACAGCCCTGGATTTACTGCTGCACAATTCCTCTGATACTGTAAGTATGACATCAGCCCCAGAGAGACTGAAAGAGAAGACAAATAATCAAAATAGTGCTCCCCAGAGAAGCAGGCTGAAGACAGTGCCAGGTAACTGTCTTAAAGGACCTCATACTTTCTGTCGCATTAATTATGGTTTTTATATAGTACTTAGCACAAAGAGTGGGAATAAAGAAATTGGAAAAAACTGGAATGAGAGTTCTAATAGTTCTAATTTCTCATTTGCATCTGTGAAAACAGAGCAAATGTATTTCTTAGAGCTTTTTTTTCATAAAGGTAAGTAAAGAAAAATACTCTGTAAACAACTACTGCATTTTTTATTTTAAAATATTTTAGAAGTCATACATTTTTATGGACATGGATGTAGTAAATAAATATTTTACCATTTTAGACAAAATGGTTTTGATTCTATTCACTGTTTTCACAGAAGTCAAAAATAAATATGCTCCCCAGTTACTGAAGTGCAGCCTCATGCTTCAGCTTGCTGCCTTTCAAGTTTGTCACACTAATGCAGACAACTCAGCCTTCTCCTGATACCTCCAGATGCCAATTTTCAACATGCTATAATTACTAATGGCCTTCATTCTTCTTCTCTAGAACACAGCTAAATCCTAACAAGCATCTGAAACTGTCAAGTCTTATAAATTCTCCCTTTGTGGCTTAGACAAATAGCCCATGTGTTTTTATCTTTATGAGCTGTATCCACCCATTCTCTGAGGTATTTTATAGCCTAGACGGAGGCAAGTAGATTTTTTTATTTACCATATTTTACTTTTCCTCCAAACACTTTTCAACCCAAAAGCTGATACATCATTCAAGCAGCAGACCTTAGCTGGGTGATGCAAATGCTGCTACACGTCTTCATTTTGCTTCACAGAAGAGTTTTTAGGGTTTTGTTGTGAAAAATAAACAAGAAATCAATCCAGGGAAAAAAATAATCACAGTCTCCTGGATATTTATATTAACAAGCCAAAACCCAAAAACCTACAACTTATTCTACTCGCATATTTTTTTTCAATGTTCTTCTTTCACCATATTCTACTTGATGAAGAAAACAGAAATTAACTCTATCGGTATAAAAATTGTAATTAAACCATCTTATGCTTAATATCTCTTTCCACTTTCCTAATTATACTCGTGTACCTGAACTCTTTCTGAATTCCTTGTGCATGAGTTGTATTTGTTTATCATGGCATATGTGATAACACATAGCCTGCAATCTGCTCAGAAAAACTTCTACTGGGTGGGTGTCAGGCTACAAGGATGTAAACACAGGAGGATTAAAATCTTAGATGACATTGAGAGAGACTGATTTCAGAGGTGAAACTCCTAGGGGTTCCTACAGGGACAAGTCTCCCCCACCATGAGCACGGGACTGTAAATACACACGGCTAGATTAACAATACAAATGTCCCTTCCTGCGGGGGGGTGGTGCAGGGGAGCACTTGTGTTACATTTCTCTTGGGCTTCCCGGGCAGGCTGATTGCTCCTCCAACAATGCGCTCAGCAGCAGCTACAGCAAGATAAATGGAGCAGCTGAAGACGAAAAAATCCACATTTTTCAGTGTAAACAATTAATCTGTGATGTTCTTGTCCTATTGCAAACAGTTCCATCGATCTCTATGATTTCACTGTTAAATTTTGAGAGAGTGTTGTTCCTCTCATTTTTAAAATAATCCCCCCTCCTCTTCTTCCTCCTCCTCCTC